ACTGCTGGGTTTCGAAGGGCTAGCTTTCGTTGGAGACGCCGCACGTGAATTATCGTTGCTCCGTTCCCACGATTGAACACTGTTCCTCGAGCGATTGGACTGTGTAGAGCCACGTCTCGACGATGCCACCTCTCCAAATTTGCCAGCCAACGCCTGCACACGACCCTTGCTTGGAGACTCTGAGCGATCGCGCGGCAAGCCATCATCGAGAGGGCTTTGCGCGTTATGCGACTCGAGGAAGTTGTTCTGTGATTGAAGCTCTGAAGCGCCCAGTCCGGGTGCGCCATTGTCTGGACCATCCCTGACAGCAGTAGCAATATCAGCCTCGCGAGTAGCATATGCAGGGGATGGACCATTAAGGCCGCCTTCCATTGCGCCCGGAGTTTCGTTGCTTTCCATGGTAACAAGGGCGGAGGAGGGTTCGGGTACGTCTCTGCTCGGTGCTAAGATAGGGGATCGTGCAGGACTGTCACCGCGTGTGGGCGTAGCGAGGCCGCTGCGCGGTAGAGAAGAGTTGGAGAAGTTGCGATTGTGACCTGGGGACGGTTTTCGTGGAACGTGGTGTATGGGCTCGACGATCTTCGCAGAGGTTGGCTGGGTAACGGGCGTCGTGACTTCACTTGGTTCTTCTGCGATGGCGGGTGTGGTGCTTTCTGCTTGATCACGGTTTCTCAGTGCTGAGGCTGCTGAACTGGGCACGCGGCTCATGATTGGGCTGATTCCGGAAGTGCTTCCAGTATTGCTCCTCAGAAGGTCTGAAGTTGAATCGTTGTCGTTTGATATGGGCGTTGGCGGAACGGAACGCGATTCGTCAGCGCGAGTAAATGCCTGATCAACAACGGAGCGCAGACCCTTGTCATCCTGTGGTGACGCAAGGGATTGATTTTGCTGGGGTTGTTGTTTGTCGTGCGGGGCTGCTGCATCATAATCAGGCAGATACTCGCTCTTGCGCTCAGCGACGGTTTCCATAGGCTGCAGCGATCGCCCGCCTTCTTGAGGAGAGACCACGTTGTCCTGTATCGGAGAAGAAAGAGAGTCCAGGCTTGGTCGCGATGATTCCATTGACGCCCGCTCCCGCTCCTCTTGGTGCCGCTTGTAGATGTCGGCTGGTCTGATGAAGGGTAGCGGCTTGTCAGATGCCTGACTGCCATTGCGTGATCGTGGCGAAGTAGACATTGGCATGTCTCCCTGGCCTATGCTACTCTTGCGCGGGGGAAACTGTGTGTTGAGCGGCGGGGTGAAATCGGCAGGGACCTGCGATATGCGAGTCTGGAGAGGCGGGGGCATGGCAGAGTAGCCCTGCTCATGCTCGTGGCCGTGTCCATGTTGGGGTTGCGGTATTGTTGAGGAGAAGGCGCGCTGTTCCTCGCCGTGCTCGAAGGAATTTCTTCGGGGTCGTGGGAGGGGCGCCTGCTGGGAGGGGTCGGTGAAGCTGCGCGATGGTTGCTCCGTCCGCTGGGCATAGTATCGCTGCGCCAGAGGCTGTGGCTGCTCGGGCTCCTGGTTGACGCCGTATTCGTCGTACTCGTCGTAGCCGCCCCAATCGTCGCCATCGTAGGCGTTCTTCTTCGCCTGGACCCATTTCTTCGTTTTGGCACGGTTGACATTGGTCTTGAACGACACAGGCTGGCCGGCGGAGAAGGGCGACGCGGTCCGATCGCTAACACGAGTCAGTTCAGGACAGCAGGCGACATGCGCGTGCAGAGGCGGTACGTACAGCGGCGACCTGGCTTCCTCTTGCTGGAAGCGGAAGGGGCCAGACATGATGGCGTAGGAGGGTCCGGAGATGGCTACGATGCACCGCTCTCGCTCTACTAGGGCCGAGCCCAACGCCAGCTATGTCCTGCAGCGCATGCAACCGAGAGACACGAGGGGCAGCCTGCCGAGATGGAGTCTGCGACAACGGTGGGGGCCGGGGGAGCGAGGCAGTGGTGGTGCAGGTGGCCGGAGTGGTGATAGACAGCGTGGCTGGAGCCGGGCGGGAGGGTTGATGAGGGCTCGACCAAGCTTCCGGGGGATACGTCACCTGCCTGCGCGTGCGAAAGGCCCGACGTGATCACGACAACGGCGCACTCAACGGGAGCAGCTGGGCAGGCGAGGATGGGCGCAGAGGACGCGGTGGAGGAGCAAGGAGAGCTAGCGATCAACTCCCCTTGACGCAGCTGCTCCGCGCGGTCTGACGGGTCTACGGCCAGTATGGCGCCGTGGAGGTGTGGCGCAGGGCGTCCAAGTTTGGCCGACGCGGAACTAACTACGTTTCCCCATTCCCCATTTCACCCCGACCCTCAACACATTCCGCTTTTCTCTGCCCGACTCGCCAGGAACACGCCGCTTCCGATCCACCGCCGCGCACGACTGCATCCCGCGTCTCTCGTCACTCCTCCAGGCCAAACCCCGCCGCCGCCGCCGCCAGCTCTCGCACGCCCCGTCTACGAACCGCGTGTCGCGCGCCATCACCTCACAATTGCATCTCGCCCGTGGCTGCCCTGGATCCTCGAGCAAACGGGGCCTGAGCAAATCCGCGACTGCGCACGAATCTGCCACCCGCCTCGGCGCAACTTCCACGTCGCCTGTGCATCCGCAGCGCCTGCTGTCCTGCCCACAGGTGGTGCGCCTCCCCTTTTCCGCCCTCGCCCTCCCTCCCACCACAACGAATCGTCAACATGGCTGTGTCGATACAGGACCGCACCGACGAGTTCCGCTCGATTCTTGCACAGGCTCGTCGGCGGCAAGCGCAATCCAAGACGGGCGCGCAACGGCAGTCGCTCCTCACAGCACAAGAGAAGACACAGGCAGATGCCAACCCCCGGCGTCAGCGCTCTGAATTTGCGCGCAATGCGGCCGACATCGCGCGGGGTGTTGCGAGCACCATGCAGAAGCTCGAGCGCCTTTCACAGCTGGCCAAGCGCAAGACGCTGTTTGACGATCGGCCAGTCGAGTTTGACGAGCTCACCTTTGTCATCAAGCAGGACATGACTGCACTGTCAGGCCAGGTGCGGGCACTGCAGCAGATGAACTCGAAGCAACACCCCAAGGCGAAACCCGGTGTGGACCAAGAAGGAGAGCACAACGGCCAGGTCGTCAAGCTGTTGTCCGACAAACTAACCAACGTGGGGACCAACTTCAAGGACGTTTTGGAGGTGCGAACAAAGAACATGCAGGCATCGCGATCCCGCACGGAGCAATTCCTGTCAACAGCTGCGCAGCAATCCCACAGCAACCTCGAGCCAGGCCGGACAGATTCTCCACTTTACCAAACACCCCAGCGAGGTCGATCACCAGGAGGCTTCGCCCGGAATACCAATGCAGCGCAGCAAGACCTGCTCTCGCTCGAACCTTCTGGGTCGTCAGCTCTGACGCGAGGCGCACCGCAATCGGACGCACAACTACTGCTCATGGAAGAGGCCCAGCCCCAGAACGCATACATCCAAGAGAGGGGGCGAGCAATTGAGTCGATAGAGTCTACTATTCAAGAACTAGGAGGCATCTTCAGCCAGCTCGCCCAGATGGTGTCCGAACAAGGAGAACAGATCCAGCGCATTGACGCCAACACCGAAGACGTTGTAGACAACGTCGAGGGTGCCCAGCGTGAGCTGATGAAGTACTGGAGCCGCGTGCAAGGCAACAGGTGGCTTGTCGCAAAGATGTTTGGTGTGCTGATGATTTGTACGTATACCCGCACACTCGTACATTGACAACATACTAACAAGTCTTAGTTTTCTTGCTCTGGGTCCTTATCTCTGGGTAGATTTGCGCTTCATGGCTACGGCATTTTCAGGCGTTTCTACCAGCTCGGTCTGGCATCGAACTGGACGAGCAGCCATTGCATACGAGGCTGCGCACTTCTCACATGTATCTATATATATTTCTTTTGTCGCATGTTTCACTTTTGGGCCTGGCTTATGATCACCATTACGTCATATGAGCGAGCCGTTATAAGCTACTATTAATGAATTCAACCCGTCTTTTCACTTGCGACATCAGGACGATTTGCTGGGTGTGGAAGGCTTCCCGGTAGCTCGGTCCATGTCTGTTGTGTACTGTACCATATTTGCTTGCGTGCCTTGGCTGCATATGTACAACATGCGATTTGGTAGTCGCTTAGGACAGTAGAGTAGTGCCCATCACGAAGCTTGCAATACAAATGCGTGTACTCTGGGTCAAATTCGTACACTCAGGTGGAGCATGCGCCAACGACCACCACCTGCGTCATCAAGGCGGCCGTGTGATCGACGACTACAGGCTGAAACCAGATTGGACAGTTGTGCGTATCCGACCGCTTCTTATTCTCGATAGCCCCTGCGCAGTATCACCAACGTCGCAACCGAATTATCATCTTCACATGCTCCAGGATGACCCCGACACGGACGGCTACCACCTAGGTGGAACATCAGAACATCGGAAATCATGGCAACTAAGCGGCAATGCCGAAGCTATCCTCCAACCACCTAGTGGGCTCCCGGCACAGTATTCCGGCTACACCACTACGAGTCGTAGATGGAGAACTGACAGGCGCCGAACTATGCACGTCATCGCCATGACAGCCGAAGTGATATCAACGGTACTTAGCTCGTCACTAAGCGGGCCTGATTGGCGGCGCGAAACATGTAAAGTGCGACATGACGAAAAGGACGGCGCAACGTCGGTCGGATAGCCGCGTTCGACGGGCGCGCGCAAACTCATTAGCGGGCCATGGACAGATGTCATATCGGTGTTTGGTGGGTGGGATGGCTTGCAGGCGACATGCTGAATGCAGCATCAGCAGATGATCCACCTGCTGCAGAGTGGGCGTGTGGGCGCCCGTCTTCCATGCTCTAGCGCCCACTCCTTCCATCCGTATGTGAACCACACTTCCAAGGTTCTCACACCGTCGTGCGTCCTCGACACCTGACCCGCCCTCTGTTTGCTGCACCCCTCTGTTAGTCGCCCAAGCTTGTGTGCCGCCCTCCCAACGGTGCCGCCTGTCCTGCGCAAGAAGAGACTACCCTTGCGCCGCTCGCATGTCTTGGTAGCGACCTCTTGACATCAGTCAACAGCCAAGTGCATGCGCGCTCCGGCGCAATGCCTGACCGTATATGGGACGAAACCGTTGCGCTCGGCACGGCTCCCATATTCGACGATGCTATATATCTGGCCGAAGCCTTGGGTCTGCCTATGAATCAGAATGAGGACCATCTCGACGCCGAGGTGGCGCTGCTTGCTCGCGAATCTGGTGTCCCCGATTCTTATCGTTTCGTACCCCCGCCAGAAACCATCTCTCGCGCAATCTCGACTATGACGCTGGATAGCGATCAGAGAAGTTCCAGATCAATTCACTCTCAAGAAACGCAGTCAACAAGCTTCACGTCCGCGCCTTCCCGAACTTCCAGAGACCTCATTTTCTCCACTGACGGCTCAACCACAAGAAGGGCACCTCCAGCACGCTCACAGATTACGTCACCTGTTGAGAAGTCTCGAGACTTTGTTGACCGTCCCGAATCTGATTTCCAGTCAAGACAATCATCGACACTGTCCATCACACCTTCCGCCATCTCCAGCTCAGCCTCGTCACAGCAAGCGCAACCAAGGAAGAAACGGGGCTCCGTCATTTTCTCCATGTTCAGAAGGGATTCAGGGTACGTTATGGACAGTGACTTATGACAGCTTCCTACTAAGTCTTTTTAGTAGTACTTGCACCACGTCCGCGCCGCACCACGGATATCACAGCAGGCCTCGAGGCGCAAAGCTGGTATGCGGTCACATATCGTCTGACGCCGACGTTCGCGCACATATACAAGAGTCATTAAAGAGAGGCGCACACGTAGCGCCCGATTGCTGTGGAAGCGCATTACCGCAATCCATTCTGGAGCGCGTCCCAGCAAAAGACGACCCGAGGCTCGCTATGGAGACTGCTACCGAGCTGCCTGAGCCTCTTTCCCGTGACTCTGACTATTGCGAAATTGTTACCTCAACTGCTGACAGTTCCCATCCCATAATTGACTCTCTAGTTTCAGACATTTCCTCCGCTTTGCCACAATCTCCAATGAGGCGCACCCGACACGAGGCGATCAGCATCGGCTTGGCGTTAGCTAAAGAGGCTTTCGCAAGTTACAGGACACAACAGAAGGAAGAGCTTGCACGTGTCTCGCTGTTCGAGTGCAGCCAAAGAAAAGCCTTGTCAGCGTACCAATATTGTTCAATGCAACAATTGGGAGAACAGCTTGAGATTGATAAGAACGAACGGATCGGACAGGTAGGTATAATTCGTGTTGATGTGATATACGTCAGCTGACTCAAGCGATGTAGCACAATGAGGACCTGGAGCGATTAGAAGAACGACAACTTCTCGCTGAACACGACCTGTTGAAAGCACAAGCTCAAGAGACACAGAACGTAGCGACAGCCCTAAAGTATATTGAGGCGTATTGCCTACGTACGAGAAGCAACCAAGAGCGTGTGCATGCTGTGTCGGAGGAAGACTTGAAGAAGCTGGACCACCAAAGATTGATCCAACAGGATCTTCCCAGACGACACGCGAGTGCAATCAACGTCTTACGAGCAAGGCAAGAGATGGACACCGCACGAAGACTAGAAGCACAAGAAGCAGAGCTACAGCAATTAGGCATTGAGCACGAGAAAAGGAAGTTTGCAAAAGAAGCGGAATATCACAAGGAGCTGGCAAGGCTTGAAACCGTTATCGAATTAAGAAGAAAGAGGCTTCTACAAAGGTGGGATCTCAGGTTTGAAATATGGCGACGTGACTGGGAAGCGCAGCACGACACGACTCTGACGGTAGAACTCGAACACGAAGACTGGCCACCTCGCAAAGCAGATCACACGATTTCCATACCTGAAGCAAGTTTGCTAGCTCAGTACATCAAGGCTGCGGCATGATGCGACGGCCTTGGCTGCTCTTGATTTCTGAAACATCGCACCTCCCGTCTGTGCGATATCTGTTCGTCCCATTGACGTTGATTTGGGCAGCACCACCATTTTCGTCAGCATCTTACAGCGTAGCGAGGCGTTTACTTGAACACAAATGCTCAGACGCGCAGTCATTCTCCATCCTTTGCGGCATCGGCGGGTTTCCATCTTCGCGACTTTATACCCTTTTTGTACCTTTGCGAAGACGCATTTTCTACACACGGTTTTTAGATGTTGTTATCACGAGAGATGCTCCGCTTATATGTAACAGACCAATCTTGTTTGATTGGATAACTAGATATACGTTATATTGTAATGAGATGATTTACAATGAAGTCTGCAGCCACTGAACCCACCGTCTCTGGAAAGCCAAAATATAAATGTAACGATACTCCCATAGATCTGGTCTGACCCAGGCGCCCACACTAGAATAATGTCTCTGCTAATACAATCTCATCGACTAGTGAACCATAGCTTTGGGCGTGAAGAAAAGGTGTGGCAGACTAGGACTAGCAGCCCGATCGCCTGGATCCTACGGAGCTTTTCCCCGCCCCTACGGCGATCGAGTAGCGACCGAACGCCGTTCGCTAGAATCGACGGCTTGGCATGATTGACAAGCCGAATGGGGAAGTTTGCGATCTGGGGTTCATGGCAGGAGTATCGGACGCTCCCGTATTTGACATGATTTAATTACTATTTGGGTATCTTGCTAACTCGTGAAATTCGTGAAAACATCATTGACGGCCATCACATCGGGCATGGGAAAACCTCCACCAACTTCCACAGACGATTGCATTCGGCAGCTCTGACAGGCATCGCTGTCTCAGCCACGAGAGAGATCGCTGTTGTACTGCTCAACGGGGGCTAGCATGTCCCATTGTAAACTCTCTTGGGCGTCCGTGGCTGGTGGCAGGTGACCCAACCCCATCGCCATGTCCATCTCAGCGTCATCCTTTATGAGTGAGAGCTGGTCGAATTGCTGATCGAATAAAGCATTTTGCCCATCCATGCTTTTCAAGTCAGAATATGGTAGCATCGGCATGTTGCTCTCCATGAGGTATGGAGCAGGCGTCTCTGGGATGCTGGGCGTAGCAGAGTCGAACATGCTCATTGAGTCGTCGAACCCACCAATCCAGAACTGCCCTCCACTGACAGCATCGCGCTCCTGTATCATGTCTTCGATCTCGTCCTCGGGAATATAATGCTCTGCGAGCAGATGACGGCGCAAATCACGGTCCATGTAGAAGCGGTACTCGCACGTCTTCACCAAACAGGGCACCTCGCGGCCTTGCTCATAGCCAACACCGGTAAGCATGGTAAGCATCGAAGGCTCCGGCTTCTTCTTTGACTTTGCGGCCTTCCGGAGCTGCTTGCGGTTGCCGAGACCAAGATGATTTTTCCGAACATGCTGATCGAGAGACGACTTGGCCTTGAAGGAGGCGCCACAGGCATTCTCTCCGTTCCAGGCTTGGAGATCTGGGTGTTTTGAATTCTGCAGAGCATCGGGGGTACATGAGTACCTGAACTGCTTGTCGTGGACCGTCTGAATGTGAACAGTGAGGTTGTGTTTCCGGTTGAAGACACTCTCACAGCCTAGTCTGGGACAAGGGAACTGCGTTTGGTCTTTTGGGTGCCCATGGATGGTGTTGAAGTGTGTCTTGAGATTGGATGCAGTCTTGAACTTCTGACCGCACTGTGTACATATAGGTGGGTGACACTCGGCTGTGTGCACGTTCAGCTCGTCTTTTGTCGCGAAAGACGGTAAGTGTGGCGGGATGGTGGATGTGTCAACAGACTCGCTCTGCATTGTGTCCGCGTCTACTCCAGCCGTCGCACACAGCATGCAGAAGTGGCCCTGCCCTTGTATGTCTGCATGTGTCTTGCCCATATGCCGTTGTAATGCGCCCTCAGTCTGAAAGCCACTCGCGCATTTCTCGCCGGTCTCTTGATCCACGTGAGAACAAGTGAAGGGCTTGACGTCCATGTGCTGGATCTTGACGTGTGCCTCCAACGCCTTCGCCTTCCTAAAAGCCTCGTTGCACGGGGGGAAGTCGGTACAGTAGAATTTGGATTCGTGGACGTCTCTGTGCCTCTGGAGCCTGCCGTTGGAGGTGAAACTCTTGCCACACCCGGTCCAATCGCATGTGAATGTCCGCTCGGTCGCAGGGTCGCTATGGGCGTTCTTGAGGTGACGCTGTAAGTGGTCTTTACGAGGGAACGTCTTGTTGCAGCCGGGCTCGGTACAGATAAATGGTCGCTCCTTGTTGTGGCTTCGCATGTGTGTCTCGAGGCGACATGGTCGGTTGAAGCGTTGCGAGCAGGTTGGGCAGACGTAGTTCCATTGGCGACGGGCCTCGCTCTCTGCCCTCAAAGTGCCGTTGTCGGTGAAATTGACCTTGTAATCAGCAGAGTCGTCTGTCGCATAGTCCTGGTCGGGTGTGTCCTCCGCAACACCTCCGAGAATGTTAGCCTTCAGGATCGACGTCACGGTGCTCGGGGTTACGGTACTGTTGCGAGACCTCTTCAGTGGGGCCACACCAGCGTCTTCGGTGTTTCTCCGCTTCGGCGCCATAGTATTGCATACAACGTGCGCGTGGTTGCAAGGCGGCTCGTGGATGCGCAGAACCATGGACGAAAGTCGAGCTCCACTGTATTTTGCGACCGCCAAGATTTCCCACGCTAGTGCAGACGCCGACCCCTGCGATTTCTGATCGCGAACTTTCTTTGCCAGTCGCATCGCACCAGGCATACACCCCATACTCCACGCGTACCTCTCCATCTCTCGGCATCCCTTCCAGAGACACGCACGCGCGTAGAGACCTGCTGCAAACATGTCCGACTATGGCGGTGACGACTACGACGGCGGCGCCGGTGACATGTACGTTCAGCTCCATCTCTGGGTTTCCTCCACCGGGCGCATCAGCTAGGGGAACGGTAGGAGACAGTCCCGCCGATTCTAACTTCAGTAGTGACGAGCCCCTCATCGAGTTCGACGAAGAGGCCGAGCCTGATCTGATGGACGACGAAGACGACCAGCCTGGCGGCGGTGAAGACCCAGACAATGCCGAACCCAACGACGACAACGTAGTAGTATCTGGCGATGCCAACGCGGCAGCTGCTGCCAAGGAAGCCTCCAAGAACACAGTCACAAGCGAAAAGGACAAGAAGGTTCCGAACGACAAGCGCACAACCACCCCATACATGACAAAGTACGAGAAGGCACGCGTCTTGGGCACAAGAGCACTTCAGATCAGGTAGACTACCTTCAGGGGGAGGGTGTATGTACAAGGACTAATGAGATTGCAGTGGTAACGCTCCCGTGCTGATCGACGTAGAGGGAATGACGGACCCTCTGCAAATTGCTGCGAAAGAGCTCCAAGAGAAGAAGATTCCCCTTGTTGTACGGCGGTACCTCCCCGATGGTTTCTACGAGGACTGGACTTGCGAAGAGCTTCTGACATGAAGCGTGGTGTGGCTGATTGCATTTGCTATGGAGTTTTGTTTGGCTAAATATGGGGTATTTCGGCGAAAGGAGTCTCTGAGTGGTTGCGCAATTATATCCCGAGTCTCACCCGATCTCCGTTAATTCCAAGCCTTGTCCGTTGCCTGTGCGGATCCGCGGATAAGATTTCTGTAACAAGCCAAAAGTCTAGAGGGAGGTGGGGTAGCTCGACATAGCTATTCGTCCCCCGCACTAATTTCAGGCACAACGTCACTCAATGCGCCTGCTCACAAAACTTCCAAGGGCCCCTCGACCTGCGTTTGCATTCCAACCTCCTACTGTTCGTTTTTCTCGCTATACCACATTGTCCAAGATGTCTTTCGAAACCACAGGCACCATCGCATCCTTCGGCGGCAAGCTTCTCAAGTTGAAGCACAAGTCCTCAAGCACAAACACCGACATGGAGCTGAACGTGTTCCTGCCTCCACAAGCACTCAAGTCCGGCGCCAAGGTCCCAGTTCTCTTCTACCTTTCCGGCCTCACATGCACCGGCAACAACTGCTCAGAAAAGGGGTTTTTCCAGCACGGCGCAGCCAAACATGGCATCGCTGTCGTGTACCCTGATACTTCACCGAGTGCGTGCCTACCGTGAGACTATACGCGGAGCATTTGACTAACCCACTCACTAGGGGGCTTACAGATCGAAGGTGAAGACGAGTCATACGACTTCGGGTCAGGCGCAGGTTTCTACGTCGATGCCACCAAGGAGCCATGGTCAAAGGGCTACAACATGTACTCATACATCACCAAAGAGCTCCCCGAAGCGCTGTTCTCGTCTTTCAAAGAGCTAGATTCCAGCAAAGTCAGCATCACAGGGCACAGCATGGGTGGACACGGCGCATTGACACTGGTTGGTCAGCTGCTTGCATACCAGGAGGACTAGACTGACCACCATCGATAGTTCCTTAAGAACCCCGGCATGTACAAGTCTGTCTCTGCATTCGCACCCATCGCCAACCCCATCAACTGCCCATGGGGCCAAAAAGCTTTCAAGGGATACTTTGGCGAGGACCAGCAACAAAAGTGGAAGGAGCATGATGCGTCAGAGCTGGTCAAGCAATGGAAGGGTCCTCTTGAGATGCTCATCGATGTGGTGCGTATCATATGCGACAGTCTTGTGTCGTTTTACTAACTGAGCTAGGGCACTGGAGACAACTTCTACAAGCAAGGCCAGCTTCTACCGGAGAACTTCGTCAAGGCAGCCAAGGAAGCTGGCAATGACAAGGGCATTCAACTGCGCATGCAGCCCGATTACGATCACAGCTACTACTTCATGGCCACATTTGCTGACGATCACGTCGAGTGGGCGGCGAAGCATCTAGGCGCATAGTAAGTAGACGTGACACCGATTGTAATAGCAGTCTGCTCACTACTACAGAAGCGGCTCGTGTATCAGAGAGAAACTATAGAACCTAATAGAATCCGTACACATCTGGAAAGACTTGACTACTCATTCGTGATTTATTGG